CCCCCGCCACGATGCAGTCTTGAGCTGACCGTGGTCCGTGGCATCCCTGCAGGGGGACCCAGCCCCCGTGGCTCCCTGGGGGACTCTCTGGCTTTCCTCTCCTTCCCTCCTCTGCAGGCTGATGCTGGGCTTTATGGGCGTCACCGCCTTCCTGTCCATGTGGATCAGCAACACGGCCACCACGGCCATGATGGTGCCCATCGTGGAGGCCATGCTGCAGCAGATGGAGGCCACCAACGTGGCCACCGAGGCCAGCCTGGGGGGCCTGGAGCTGGCAGACAAGGGCAAGCCCGGTGAGCTGCCAGGTGAGCCCTGGCCCGGGGGCTGCGGGGGCCCACGAGGGCAGCTGTCCTCTCTGCCGCCCGGAGCCCTCCCTCAAACAGGGGAAACACTTAGAAAATGCTGCTTGGGTTTTAACCTTGAGGAACGTGGCCGTTGCATAAAAGTTAGATCCTGCAGTAGAGCTCAGAGCAAGATCCCACGCGTGGTTCCTGCCAACCGCAGAAACCAGTGCCGTCACCGATTATTCCTCTGGGCATCTTTTGAGCACCTACTGGGTGCCCCTCACCTCTCCGCTCCCACAGGTGTCGGGGTGGGGGCCCCACGTTGGCTTCCCGTCGAGGTCCCGAGCTCAGGATGCTCAGAGAGCGCCTGCTTTATTCTCGGCCCCTTCACACCCCGTCCCCAGGGCTGCGCTCAGCCGGCTGGATCCGGCTACAGGGGTGCAGCGGGCTGGGGACCAGGCACCTGGCGGGCTGGCCCGTCCCATCCTCAGGCCAGGGCAGGGTCAGGAGCTCGAGCTGGAGGCCCGCACCGGCTCAGCCCACGGCGTGCCCCCACAGGGAGCCAAGCGACCTTTGAAGGCCCCCCCGAGGGGCGGCAGGCTGACCGGGACAGGAGGAGCATGAGCAAGGCCATGACTCTGTGCGTGTGTTACGCGGCCAGCATCGGGGGCACTGCCACGCTGACGGGGACGGGACCCAACGTGGTGCTTCTGGGCCAGATGCATGAGTGAGTCGCGGGCACGCGAGGAGATCTGGGGCTGGGGCACCCCCACCTTTCCTTCCTGCTGCAGCCCCGCACCTGCCAGGACCCCACAGGCCTGCTTGCTTTCTGCTCTGGGGCGAGTCCTGCCCTTCCTCCCCGGCGCTCGCTCCGGGAGAGACTGTGCACCAAGCAGCGAGCTGAAATCGTGGGAAATGACCCTGGTCCTGGGTCACAACTTGCAGAAAACAGACGTCCCCTCACTGCTGGTTTGCTGACCTTGGTTGTGAACAGCGGTGCCGTACGGCGTCAGCGAAGGGCTAGGGGTCAGGCTACTTGTTGCCTCTACGTGCCCTTGGGGGGCCCCGGGTGGACACAGGGCTGGTCGGCACCTTCCCGCCTCGGCCACAGAGGGACACAGAGCATGTGCGGGTGGGGCCGGTCCCACCCATGGGGCACTCAGGGTCAGCGGACGGCTGCCCTTGCAGGGTCCCGGGCAGGTGGCCCGAGCGTTCCAGGGCAGATGGAGCCCTGGACCAGGCAGGCAGGGCCGCTGGGAGGTGGGCAAGAGCCCAGCCCGCAGACACTTGAGGTCCACCACGCAGGCGGTTTTGATCTTGAGAGGACTCTCTGTAATGATAGACTACGGCTCTCCCTGACGTCCGCCGGGGCAGCGTGGGGACCCGCGGGCCGAGGGAGCCGGGCCTGGGGCAGGAGAGCGGGGCCTGCAGCACGAAGGGCCCTCCGCCAGCCCCAGGGAAGGACCCCCACCCCGTCCCGCCTCCGGGGAGCTCTGGAGACTCACTTTCCCCGGGGAGTGAGGCGTCCGGGAGCCCTGAAGCTCGGGCCCGGCTTCCGAGGGTGCGAAGGTGTGTTACTTTGGAGGGACGGGCGCCGACTTCTGCAGGGCCCCCGTGGGGTCTGGACCCGCAGGCAGGGCGGCTGGCCGCTCCTCGGGCCTGTTTTGCGTGTGGCCCGGGGCCCAGCTGCTGCTCCAGGCCCCGGCGTGGAGGTGGGCCCAGCGTCTCTCCCTTCGTTCAGGCTGTTTCCTGCCAGCAAAGACCTGGTGAACTTCGCCTCTTGGTTTGGGTTCGCCTTCCCCAACATGCTGGTGATGCTGCTGCTATCTTGGCTGTGGCTCCAGGCTGTGTACCTGAGGTTCAGGTGAGCGCGCTCTCATCAGGCACCCCTGCCCCCCGCCCCCCGCATCCCTGTGGCACGCCCAGACTCGGCGGCGCACTCTTCCTGCCTGGCCCCGGCCACTTCTCCGGCACCCTGCTAGTCTGGCTGCCCCACCTGCTGCCCTTCTTGCTGGGAGGCCATTCCCTACCTTCCCGCCTTCTGGGCCCTCGGCCTCGAGGCCAGCTCCGACCGGCTCCCCCGCAGGGACACCGCCCGACGCCCTACCCCACTGCGTTTCCCACGAGCTGCTCGCTGGGGCCTCCCTCGGGCCCCGCCCGGCCCCCGGGGGTGGGGGGACGAGCAGTTGCGGGTCAAAGCAGCTGAGGAGACCCCCGGCCCCTGTGCACACCTACGCTTGGCCGCCGGTGCCCGTCAGTCCCCTCGGGGCTCCAGCCTCAGGACCTCACCTGGACCTACTTACCTGCAAAAGCCTCACTTCTGATGCCGTCACCCTGGGGCATGGGGCTTCGATCTGTGAGCGTGCGGGGACAGAGTTTAGTCCATAAGGGTCCCCTCTTGGGGAGACCGAGGCCTGCTGGCCTGGACCGTCCTGAGGCCCAGGGACAGCAGGTGTCGGGGGCAGCAGGTGTGGCCCCCCGCAGCGTGAGGTGGGGGGGCTGCCCTAAAGCCCCGAGGCCCACTGAGTCCCCTGCAGGGCGAGCACTGGGGCACCACTAGCCTCTGGGGGTCTCACCGTCAGGAACCCTGCCCGGCCTTCTGATGGGGGAGCCCTCCTGCGGCTGTGTTCAGCCAGCCAGCCTCGTCAGCTCAGGGGCCCTTGCCGACCCCACGTGGAGCATGGTGGGGGGGCAGCCCCCAGGAAGCCTTGATTGGGAGAATAGCAGCGGATGTTCTGGGGCCCCTGCCCCCAGGCCTTGTAGAAGCAGCACCGGCCTCAGCTGTGGGGGGGGGGTCCTTTCTGTCACCCTCACTCGGGTCCCTCATCTGAGCAATGTCAGGGTGGCTGCCTCCAACCTCATCCAGGAAAACTACCTTCCTGGGTTCACAGATGGCCTCTGAGGCCACGTCCAGCCACAGGGGCCACCGGCCCCCCAGAACTAACAGGACATCACCGCTGGCTTGCATCCAGCTTTGCTAACCACGCTGTCCCCTGGATCAGGGATGGGGGTCCTTCTGGACCCCTGCCCTCCCATGAAGTCTGCCCCAGGGCCCAGGAAGGACTCCCAGCAGGGAGGGCTCTCTGGGGACAATTCTCCTGGCCTTCAGGCTGCCTGGGGCCGGAATGCCCAGACACTCCTGCGGACCATCCTGGGCACCGGTGGGCCTCCCCATGGCCGAGGTACCCTCAGCACCTGTCCACGGACCCCTCCTCCTCCCTAACCCTCATGCCAGCACCCCAGGGGAGGTCCTGCTGGGCAACCTGGGCAGGCTGTGGGTGGCCGTGGCCACTGGTCTCCGGGGAGCCCCCAAGGGCAGGGCCATCCGACACCTGTGCCCCCTCCGACCACAAGCTGCCCCCCTGCTCCTGCCTGGCCCCGGCTTCTTAGACCTGTCCTTGTTCTTTGTGTCCTCTTGAGCCACCCCCATGATGGGGCTTGGCATCTCAGCTCCGGGCCCCGGCGGGACCACCCCCAGGTGAGGAAGCACCCCCCCACCCCAAGTTGGCTCTCGATATTCTCCCGGCCATCCCCCAGATGATGGGAGCCGCTGGTTCCCAGGCGACCAGGCACCTGCCACGTCCCCCTGACCAGGGGTGGCCCCACCTCTGCCGATTTCTGCCTCCTTGGCCCTGAGACCCCATCCAGCCTGGCTGCCCCACTCTGTGCGCCCCCTGGTTCTGGGGGTACCGTGGGCCATGCGCTGGGCACACATCACAGACACTGTCTCCCGCCACGTTCTGCGAAGTAGCGCCGGCAGAGGATGGACACAGGACTGGGGAAGAGGCTCGCTCGAGGCTGCACCGCGTGCCCTTCGCCACGTCCTTCTGCCCAACGTCCAGGCTTCCATCTGACCGTCCGACGGGCCCTGAGCCGACCAGCCCGCCTCACTGGCCTCTCATCTCTGCACCCTCTAGTTTTAGGAAGTCCTGGGGCTGCGGGCTGGAGAGCAGGAATCACGAGAAGGCTGCCTACCAGGTGCTGCAGGAGGAGTACAGGAAGCTGGGGCCCTTCTCGTTCGCCGAGGCCAACGTCCTGCTCTGTTTCCTCCTGCTGGTCGGCCTGTGGTTCTCCCGGGACCCCGGCTTCATGCCCGGCTGGGTGTCGCTGGCCTGGGAGGAGGGCGAGACAAAGTAAGTCGCGGGCTGCTTTGTCCCGCCTGAGTTCTGCAGCTCACTCTCTTCTCCCCGGTCCTCACGACAAGCCCGCAGGTGTGTCCCCGCTGGCCAGGCAGGTGGCTGGGCTGACAGGGAGAGATTTGCTGAGCCAGGAGCTCCTGCTTCCAAACGTCTGCTCTGCCATCTCTCCTCCCTCTGAAGGCAGACGTCCGGGGCCCGGGCCGTCTGTAGAGACCCGGCGGAGAGTGTGTGCGCTCCTTCCCTCCAGGCTGAGCTGGTCTGGGGTCAGAAGGAAGCAAGGTTCCTAGACGAGGCAGGCGATGCGGGTGGGGGGCTGCCCGATGTTACACCTGCTGCATAGAAGTTCTGCTGCGGTTAGCAGCCGGGCCCTCGCAGGCCCCCCGGGGAACCCACGATCCTAGACAGTCTGATGTGAACACGTCACGACGCTCGCCCCGGAGCCACACAGACCCAGAGGGGAGCGAGCGGCTCAGGGTCACCCCGCTGGGGGCAGAGCGGGGCCAAGACACAGCTGTCCCAGTTCCCAGCCATGGTTTCGTCTGTACGGTACTCCCAACGTGGGCCGTTGGCGTTCCATCCTCGCACTCAGCGCTCCTGTGGACACAGAGTAGGTTTGTTGAGTGGAGGCCCCAAAGCCAAGCTGGGCATGTCCTGTGTGCTCTCGCCTGTAGGTACGTGTCTGATGCCACCGTGGCCACCTTCGTGGCCACCTTGCTGTTTGTCATGCCCTCGCAGAGGCCCCAGTTCAACTTCCGCGGCCAGACCGAGGAGGGTAAGGCTCGGTCCTGGCCCCTCACTCATGGGGGTGGGGCCCCGCGGGAGGGAGCCCGCCCTGTTGGAGAGGCCTGGCTTGATGGTCCGGGCGGGGGGCATTCCGTCCAGTTAGGGGGACGGTCGTCAGCCCTTCCGCGGGGACTGTTCAGCGCAAACTCTCTTCTCTTGTGCTCTTTACACGCTGGAAATCTTATCAATATTACAACAGGAGCAGAAGAACGTTCCCGGTTTCCCGCAGTGCCGTCTGTGTATTTTTGACTTCTCTCTCCCTGACTTTGCTAGGATGCATGTGTATACATGGCTGCAATCCACACACACACACACACACACACACACACAGAGCTTGCATTCTGGTTCTCCGGCGTGTGGGTTTTCGTGTCTTTACGCTGTGCACACGTCCTGTTAAAGACACAGCCTCCGACTTTATTTTTTCCAATAACAGCATCGTATCGCGTTGAGGGGCTGTTCTGTTCTCCTCTTATGGAACATTCTGGCTGTTTTTAATTTTTCGTTATTATGTCATGTATATTATAACATATATTATTGTATGTTTTCACGTATATAGCTTTTTCTTTGAGGGTGTTTCTTTAGGATAAATTTCCAGGAGCAATGTTATTGTCAGAGTTATATACGTCTTAATGGCTCTTAAAATGTGTTGCCAAATTGCTTTTCAAAAAGATTGTGCCAATTTCTATGCTGGCAGGAGTGTGTGACATTTCTACCACATCTTTACCAGCAATAGGGGTCGTGATTACTGTGAGTTTTAGCTGATTTATGGATAGGAGAGCTGCCCGTTGTGCTTATGGGCTTCATTTCCCCTTGATTAGATCTCTTTTGCTTCCTGATTGGGCTCTGGGTTGTGTATGTGTGTTTTTATGGTTTCTTCTCAGAAAGGAAAACTCCTTTTTATCCCCCTGCGCTGCTGACCTGGAAGGTGACCCAGGAGAAAGTGCCGTGGGGCATCGTGTTGTTGCTGGGGGGCGGCTTCGCGCTGGCCAAAGGATGTGAGGTAAGGCCCCCCGCTGCAGGCTGCCAGGGCCCCTCTTGCACAAGAGGGCGTCAGTGAACTTTGTCCCTCCACCCACACCCCTGCATTGCGGGCTCTGGTCCTAAGTCTGTCTGCTCCAGAGACCTGCAGGTGTCTTGAGGACAGGGACTCTGTCTTGTCACCAAGGAGTGGATGGACAGATGGATGGATGGATGGATGGACCTGGAATAGAGAAAGTGCTCTTTGAGCGATTACAGCAATGAATGAACAAGTGACCAGGAGAATAAGTTAGCCAAGAGAGGCGGAGTATGCCGTGAGGTCTCCTCTGGGGTTTGGCGACAGTGACCTCTGCTTTGATTTGTTCCGGGAGGTCTCTACCACACCATTTTGTTCTACTCACTGAACTCTTTGTTCAGATAGCTGACATTTAAACATCTTTTTCTCTATCTAAAAAAAATTTTCCTCTATCTAGGTATATAGCAGCACAGAAGGAGAGGAACAGCTTTTGGGAGAAAACACCCCAAAATGTAACTTTCTTACTTCCCCCCTTCCTCAATAGGGAAGAAATGAGGTGGATGGAGAGAGGTGCTACTATCTTCCATCCATCCCTCCATCCTTCTACCCATCTGTCCATCCATCCATCCTTCCATTTGTTGATCCATCATTCCCTTCATCCATCCATCCATCCTGCCATCTGTCCATCCATCCATCCTTTCATCCACCATCCATCCTTCCATCCATCCATCCATCTTTCATCTGTCCATCTACCCATCCTTCCATCATTCATCCATCCATCCATCTATCCATCCATTCATCCATCTATCCATCCATCATCCATCCATCCATCCTTCCATCCATCCATCCATCCATCCTTCTACCCATCTTCCATCCATCTACCCTTCCATTTGTTGATCCATCATTCCCTTCATCCATCCATCCATCCTGCCATCTGTCCATCCATCCATCCTTCCATCCATCCATCCATCTTTCATCTGTCCATCTATCCATCCTTCCATCATTCATCCATCTGTCCATCTATCCATCCTTCCATCATTCATCCATCTGTCCATCTATCCATCCTTCCATCATTCATCCATCCGTCCATCTATCCATCCATTCATCCATCTATCCATCCATCCATCATCCATCCATCCATCCATCCATCCATCCATCTATCCATCTATCTATCCATCTACCCATCCATCCATTCTTCCACCTGTCCATCCATCCATCCATCCATCTGACTTCCATCATCCATCCATTTGTCCATCCATCCATCCTTTCATCCATCCATCCATCCATCCATCCATCCTTCATCTGTCCATCTATCCATCCTTCCATCATTCATCCATCCGTCCATCTATCCATCCATTCATCCATCTATCCATCCATCCATCCATCATCCATCCATCCATCCATCCATCCATCCATCCATCTATCCATCTGTCTATCTATCCATCTACCCATCCATCCATTCTTCCACCTGTCCATCCATCCATCCATCTAACTTCCATCATCCATCCATTTGTCCATCCATCCATCCCTTCATCTATCCACCCAGGAGTAGAAGGTTATAGACAGACTTGGTCTATCTTGTTTCTGCTATTCCTTCAGCATTTAGAATGGAACCCAGTGAATAATAGGAACATAAATATCTTTTAGATGAATAAATCCATCCATCTGGTCACCTCTCCATTCAGTCATCCATCCATCTATCGTCTCTCATTCATTCATTCATGTATTCATTCATCAGACATTCCTATTATGTCCATGTTAGATCAGGCCTGGGAATGACAGAGGAAGTTGATAATGTTCCTGCTCTGAGGACTTTGCAGCCTGGAGAGAAGGTCATATCTGGAAAAGCATGTCAGGAAGACTTGACACCTGAGCGAAGGAATAAGCATGCAGTATCTAGCTCAGGAGCAGCAGAAGATGAGGCTGGTGCGGCTCAAAGAAGCCACTTCACTGAGAGTCAGGATAGGGGGTGTGTACTTTGTTCAGTGGGCAACTGTTGAAGGGTTGAGGCCGGAGTGACTCGGTCAGATCTACACGTGGGGAAACCCCCTGATGTGTGGGGTGGAGACCCAGGCAGGGAAGGGCTGAGGGAGACCCAGGCAGTGCTCGGTACCTTCATCTAACTCATTCTCTCCTTCCTCAGACTCCCTCCCCCTCTAAACCCTCAGTTTCTGGCTCAGATTCCTTTCCTGAGCATCAAGAGCTACAGGAGGCTGAGAGGTGGTGAGACGTTCTGGGTGACTGGGTGGCTGAGTGGGCATAAGGAATAAGGGGGACAGGGCCCCCAGGGAGGCACCCAGCCCCCTAGGTTGGACAGCAGGTGGATGGGGAGCCCCGGGGAGCAGACTCTGGGCCAGAGAGGATGAATGCAGGCTGGGGCATGTTGAGTGTGACTCTGGGCCAAAATTCGGTAAGTAGACTGGCCAGGCTGGAAACAGATTTAGGAGACAGCAGGGTGAGGATGGAGAGAGTCGGAAGCTCAGGAGGGGCTGAGCTCCCTGCAGAAGGACCGGGCTTGCTCCCGGCCCTCGGTGACTGCCCTCCCGTGCTTCCCAGGCCTCGGGGCTGTCCGAATGGATGGGGAAGCAGATGCGGCCCTTGTACTCTGTGCATCCTGCCGCCATTACCTTGATCCTGTCCCTGCTTGTTGCCGTGTTCACGGAGTGCACAAGCAATGTGGCCACCACCACCCTGTTCCTGCCCATCTTTGCCTCCATGGTAAGTGACCTGCCGGGGAGATGACCCCTAGCCCTCATGTCACAGGAAGCCGTCAACCCGGGACCACATCCTGGGTCCATAGAGGGACAGTGAGACCGGGGGCCAGAGCCCAACCACGCTTCCGAGGTCCTTCTCTGTATCCCCCATGCTCACCGAAGTGCAAAGCAAGAACCAGGCACTCAAAACTTATGTATAAATGTGGCTGATTATTTCTCAAGCTGAGGAGACAGGATTTGCAGCAAGGAGGGGTGGGCCAGTGCCGGGGAGGTGATGGAGGGTCTGGAGTATGTAGGGGTACGTGGAAGGGCGGCCGAGCAGGGCCGCTGCTGGCTGGAGCCCACCAGGAAGAAATCCCGGGGAACTGGGTCTTGGGGAAGGTGGGAGGCAGAGGGCATTCAGGGAAGATGGAATAGCCCAGGGCGCTGGTCCCAGAGGGAGTGGGCGAGGTGAGGGCGCCCAGTGCCAGGCTAGAGTCCTGTGCTTTGGGCAAGCATGGATTTGAGCTGGGACTGAGGAGAAGCAGGGCTTAGGGGAAGAGCTGCTATGATCTCTTGTATTTCCTTCCGCCTCTCACTGCACGGTGGTCCCGACCTCAGGGTGGTGCAGCGGGAGCCCCGGGCTGGACGTCAGAGGACCTGAGTCCAAGCTGTGGGGTCCTCAAACGAGGAACCTCAGTTCTCACCTGTGCTTAGGGCCAGGTAAGAGGAGGGCCATGGAAATCCTCCATGAGCGACACCACAAGCCTGGGAGAGGCCGTGGTCGCCACTCCGGAGTCGGGAGCCAGACTCTCAGACGTCCCGGCTCAGGTTTCAAGTCAGTAGGTTCCCACTCGGCCGCCCCGCGTCCACGCATATGGGAAGTAAAGCCCAATGGTCTGCTCCTTCTGTTCTCAGTGGAGATGGAAGTGTTGGAGCGCCCCCCTCCCCCAAGCAGGCTGCTGGGCAAGCAGTGGTGGCCTCCGCCCCCACGAAAGGCCTGGCTTGGTCACCTCCAGCCCAGAGCCAGACAAATGGGGGTTTTCCCCTGAGGGCGTGGCCAGGCCCTTGGAAAACAGGCTTTTCTAGAACCAGAAGCCCACAGCTACGTCTGTGGCCGCTGGAGCTCCTGCTTCAGCATCCACCTGCGGGCGAGGGGCAGGCGGTGACCCCCCACCCCGCTGGGTCACAGAGGCACGTGGGGGTGCCTAAGCCATGCATACCCAGGGCCAGGGCGAAGGGGGGTGGTCAGGAAACAGACAGGCCCTGGCTGGGCCTCTGAGCCACTCCCAGAGGGCGTGAGCCTGGGTGCAACTTTTCCAGAGACCTGTTTACCCACAGGATCCGTAACCTGAAGCCCGCTCCTGCCCTTGGACTCAGCAATTTCATGTCTGGGAATGCATCTTAGGAAGATCGTCAGGGGTGCTCACAAGCCTATATTACAGAACTGTTTGTTACAAACATGTTCTCATAGCAGGAGGGGATAGTCATACGATATAATGCCATCAGGCACTGGGGGGAAATCACAGTTTTGAGGGGCATTTGAAGTTGAAAACATACACACAAAACATCATACATATCATGTCCATTAACCCCAGAGGGTGCACAGACCCTGACCCTCCAGCCTCCCGCCGAGAGATAACTTCTGTTATTAATGTCTTGGGTATCTTTCTGGACGTATCACACACACACACACACACGCACGCACACATTCTTTTTAGAGAGATGGCATCATGGTATGGTCCCGTCTTGCACCTTCGTGTTGTTTTCCTCTAACCATCTATCAGGGATCTTCCGGTGCTAGCAGATTAGACACAGCCGAGAGCCACCCCGTTGTTTGCATATGTATGTTTTATTGAACCACCTGCTTCTCTGGGGGTCGGCGTATCGATGAGTCTGTCTCCTGAGTGTTTTGCTGATAGAATGTCGCGTGTGCGTCTGTCCTCATGTGTGTGTACATCTGCACGATGGATTGTGAATTTTGGTAGAGGTCGGAACATATCGTGAATTATACCATTCATTCATTCATTCAACAGACATTTAATGAGTGTCTACTCTGCAGTAGGGGCAGCTAGAAGTGGCTGAATTTTAGGCTGTAGAGTAAAAAAAGATGGATACCAAATTCCATATGCAAAACGGTCCCCAGTGTGTGTAAGAACAGGTGCATCCACAGGCAAGAAGATGTGGGCCTTCTAGATCTGGGGCAGGACAGACAGGTGCGGGGGGGGCCCGCGGGAACACCCCAAGGTTCAGTGCCGTCTAAGTGCCCAGCGTGGTCTCTGGCACAGCTGGTGGCCAAGACATACATGCTGAATGAACAAGGGGGTTTAGAAAGGCCTCCCGGGAGGGAGCTCTGAGGTCAGCCCTCAGTCCAGCACAGTTGTTATCCAGACCCATGGCAAACGGTAGAGGGGCCAGCGGGACAAAGGGCACGGGGCTGGGAATGCACCCAGGGCGTTAGGGGAATGCTTCTCAGGAAGAGGGTCCGGGAGCCTTTGTCTTGTGCCTCTGTGACCTCGCAGTGCTGTGTCTCTCCAGTCCCGTTCCATCGGCCTCAACCCGCTGTGTGTCATGCTCCCCTGCACCCTGAGCGCGTCCTTTGCCTTCATGTTACCGGCGGCCACCCCACCTAACGCCATCGTGTTTGCCTACGGACACCTCAAGGTTTCTGACATGGTAACGCGGCCCTTCTATTGCTTCACCAGCTGTGACGTTCTGTCGTGAGGCTGGACGCCCCCTTTCTTGCTGACGTGTGACGTCGTAGGATGTGTCCAGTCCTGTACTCTTCATTTGCATTTATATGCAGCTTTGCTTCTCTTTGGCAATGATCTCAAATTTCATAGACCGTTCTGTCTCCCAGAGCTGAGAGGTGGGTTCCGGAAGCTCCCACCTGGGGAGCCCTCGCCGAGCCCTTGGAGGGGTGAGGGTGGGGTCCCACGTGGCCGGGATGGGCTTTGCAAACTAGCAAGAACCGTGACACCAGTCGGGAGGGGGAGAGAGAGAGAGAGAGAGAGAGACCACGGCCTGGGAGCCGGTGATGTCCTGGGAACAATGTGGACAAAGGAGGACACCCTCTCTTCTGCTGTGTCTCGTCACCTGTGAGGGGAGGGGAAGCCAGAAACGGAGGCTTAGTTATTGCAGAGCCTCTGCTGGGCATCAGGACTCCCGGTGTCCCGTCGCCCTTGTTCGGACAGCCTGGCCCACCCAGGGGGTGCTGACTCTGACCCTGTTTTTCCCCCAGGTGAAAACAGGACTCATGATGAACATAATTGGAGTCTTCTGTGTGTTTGTGGCGGTCAACACCTGGGGACGGGTCATATTTGACTTGGATCATTTCCCTGACTGGGCTAATGTGACGAATATCGAGACTTAGGGACAGCCGCACACCACCCGCCCTCCTGAGGACCCCCGAGCCTTCCAGCACACCTTGCAGCAGAGTTTTGGGGTTCACTCCCCAAAGTGATCCCCCAAGTGATGCCCACACCCCCACGGAGACCCAGCCAGGCCCAGGTTCAGAGCTGGGGACGGGCAGCTGCTGGGCGGAAGTGGAGGGAGCCTCCGGAGACACCGGGGCGTCTGCTTTCCCGGGGGACCTGCCATCCCTTCTGGGACAGGTGGGCTGCAGAGGGACCAGGACGCAGGCCGCCAGCTGGCCACCAGCTGGGCTCTGGTGTCCACTCGCTTAGTCCCAGGGTCATCGAGGTGGGGATCAGATCCCAGCTTGGGACGCAGGAGAGCGTGGGCCTCCTGCAGCTCGCCTCGGCTGCCTCCGGGCTCTCCTGTTACCTGAAGGGACAACCTCACCCAGGGACACAATGTCTGATCCCGGGCAGCTTCCCGCCACCGAGATCAGAGCCTCCTGGAACCATGGGGAGAACGGTGCCGCCACTGAAGGATGAGGAATTTGGGCGAGAACTTCCGGCCGCCTCGGCCCACAGCTGCTGGCTAACCTGCTCCGCTCCTTACCTTGCTCCATCTTAGCGGACAATCTGGACCCCTTCGCTGTCCTCCCACGCACCCCCTTTGTCGTGGGCCGACGTATGCTTGGACCCCCTGGCCGGGGCCCTCCAGCGCACCAACTTCTCCCGGGCGGCTCGGCTTCTCCGGTCACACCACACAGCTGGGGTCACACTCCAAGTACGGGCAGCGATGGCTCCTTTGGGGCCCCCAGTGGGTATCTGGGGCCTCTGCCACCTCCAGGTGCAGAGTGGACGCGGCTGTTACCAGCCGGGAGCAGGGGCCCGTCAGAGCTGGTCATGGCAGAGCGTGAGTGCCCCTTTGCTGACCGGCCTTTGCAGCCGTGCTTGGTGGCAGCCAAGCTTGCTGAGAACAAGCCGCGCTCGGTGGCCCCTGAGCATCTGAGGATGCGGGGGCACCGCTTGCCGAGCGGCCACGGGGACCCTGTGACAGAGACGTGACAGACACCCAGCCCCACCCACCACCCACCACCCTCCTTTTCTTTGTGGGAGAGAAGCGGGGGCAGGAGCATGTTAGGTTCATTGACGGCATCGTTCAGGGCAGGAGAAGGTCGGGAACTCAAGGAAATGCTCTTGAGGACAGGGATGTCCCCTCGAGGACCAGGGTGTCTCCGGCTCCTGGGGTGGGAGGGTTCCTGACGGCCCCACCTGTCTTCCACGGGTAGGGGCGCTGGCTCCAGCTTTCTACCCTGGCAGGGGCCTCACCACCCCCCTCCCGTCCCTGGCGCTCCCGCCGGCTCTCTCCCGGGGTCCTTGCTGCGGCCCCGTGACATAGGCTAGTGTTGTCATCCTCAGCTGTCTCCCGAGGACTCCGAGGCTCCAAGGGGCCAAGTCATGCGTCCAAAGTTGTGTATTAAGTTAGTGGCACTTAGGGCCCCAACCGGACCTTCCACCATCGTGTCCACTGCTCCTCATCTAGCCGTTAAGGGCCTTGGTCCCCCAGGGGCCTGCAGGGAACGGTGAGCACGTCCACCCCACGGCCTGCCTGCTCAGGGGACAGTTTCGCACGAGCTGCTTCCTCAGAGGCGGGCTCAGGACAGCGGGGGGCATCTAGCTGGAGAGAGCCGAGGGTGGCTGCCCATCCCCTCCAGGGCAAGCCGGGCCACTCCTGCCGTGGACGACTGAGGGTGGCCCCGGGGACCTGCGCTGCCTGCTGGTCCAGCTCCAGGACGCTGGCTGACCCAGAGCAGGCCCCCGTGCGTGCGGCCGGGAAGGAGTGAGCGATCTGTGCGGCCGGTCGGCGCACACCCAGGGGTCGTGAGGGAGGTCACCAGGGCCATCGGGGTGGCCAGGCTGCGGCGGGGGGGAGGTGCGGGGCTCCACCCGGCCGGCAGCAAGCTGGCCGGGGGCTTCCGGAGAGCGGGCCCCCGGGCCGAGGACTCTGACCACAGGCTGATGCTGCACAACTTCTGAAGCCGGAGCTGCTCTGGAGTTTAGGGCCGATCAGGACTACGTTTGGCTGCAGGTGACGGCAGCATGAACCAGGTGGGCGTTCAATGTCGACGGGACAGGGAGTCGGAGGGACGCGGCTGCTGGGGCCGCGGGGCTCCTGAGCGCACCACGCCTTCACGGCCGTGCCCGAGCCTCGTGCATGCTGCACACCGCGTGTGCCCTGCAGGCAGGAGGAAGGGGCGGGACGGGGCCTGCTGCGTCCTCCCCTTTCTCAGGAGGCCGGCAGCCTGCCCTCCGCGTGTAACAGCCGCACTCAGGCGTTGACAAAGGCTAATCCGAGCATCAAGCGTCGTCAGCGTATCACGAGACCAATCAGGACCCATCTCCTGGGCTCGGGGAATGGGCCTGCGTTTCCTTAAACCGGGAGGTTTGCACCCGCCAGGAAGTCTGGGTTCTGGCAGGAAAACAGTGGGGGTGCTGTAGGTTGGTGATGAACAGGGTCTGTACTCTGAGCCTTTCAGGGGCTGCCCTCCCTCCAGGCTCCTCTCTGGGCCTCAGTTTCCATCAGGAAGGGGCCCCTGTCTGGGGCTGCTGCAGTGTGGCCCCCCGCCCCACGTGGGCTTGGCCTGGAGTCTGTTACTTGGCCCTCCTCTGGTCTTCGCCATTTGCTGGAAATCCTCTCAGACCTCTTCCCCGTCAACATTTTGCCTCTTACATTTTGTAACGAGGTTCTGCCCCAGACCCCTGTCCTCTCTTCTTAGCCCCTGGATCAGACATCTGGGCCCGAGGTTCGCTGAGCACACAATTCTGACCAGGGCTGCTGTCTGAACTGGGCACCAGTGACTTACGACCCCACCAGGGCCCCGTGCCTTGCAGAGGTCTTCATCCACGACCCCAGAACTGGGGTGTTTCCCTGTCCCGCAGAGCTGAGACCTTGCTTAGGGCAAGATCCGAGGCTCCCTCCTCGGCAGGGCCAGTGAGCAGGTGTCTCCTCCCATCATGTCTCCCACGCCGGCCACTAACGGACAGCAAGAAGTCTGCTCTGGGCCCCGAGCTGGGAAGGAGCTCAGCAGCAGGTCCAGTCCTCAAAATGAATACAGGCATGTCCTTGCTCGTAGAAATAAAGACCAAATGCGGGACCGTCTGGTTAAAAGCTGCACGAGACAGTCCTCCTCTCGGCTCCTAACCGCGTCTTCAACATGCTCCCTCCCTCTGGTCCCACAGCCTCTTAAAAGCTGTGTCTCCCAAGCTACCAGGGAAGCTTCTTTTCAAAATAAAAATAAAAACAAATAAAGTTCCTCTAAGATCACTCCTCCACAGCACGGGAAGGGTTTCCACGTCCTTCGATGGAAATCTTGTCATCAGGGTCTGAAACCCTTGCACTCAGACAGTCAGTTTTATTTCTCTTGATGTCCGGACTCAGGATTCGGGTTCTCGCTTCCCTGGTCTGCTTGTCCGAACGCCCACATCCATCCTTGGAGACGCAGGCTGCCTCTGGCTGGCTGCCGTCCGGCACCTGCTTCTGGCTCTCGAACGAGGGTCGAGAAATACCAGAATTCAGTCTCAGAATCCTGTTATCCAATCAGGAAAGCTTGGCTAGTTTTTGCCTTTAAGAAGTTAACAGCAAACCCATACAAGAAACCCCCATAGTGCAAAACAGGGTTGAGAGGTGTCCCTCCGGCACAGATCGAGGCCTCCCACCGCCCCCACCCAGGAGGGAGTTTGCCCACAGTGTCTCCCACGACCTTCCAGAAACATCCCCTATATATAAGCTTCTGCCGTAGATGCACGTCCTCTTCATCACACGGGGGAGCATCCCCACGTAGCGTGTGTCCTCGTTTCCACCCCTCCCCTTAATTTATTTGGAGATCATTCCATTTCAGGACCTATTAATTGTGACTATCTTTTCATTCAATAGTTGATTTTGTTTTAAATTGAGGTAACATGAAATTCGGCGAATTGCACAGATCTTGAGTGTACCGTTCGGTGTTTTAGACACCTGCATGCACCTTGTAAACAACACCCCCCCTTCCAGTACCCCGCCCCTCCCCCCAGGCACGGGCCCATTTTGCTCCTTGAACTTCATACAAATGGAACGTAATGTACATACTTGTTCGTGTCCGACATATTTGCTGAACAAAACACTTCTGATATTCATTCCTTTGTTATTGTTGATGAGTGGTGCTCTGTGGTGTGAATAGGCCACGGTTGGTTTGACCTTCGGGGTGTCCCAGTTTGGGGCTATCGTGAATAAAGCTGTTAAGCTCTCTGCACGAGCCTGTTTGTGGACATGTGTTTTCGTCTCTCTCTGGTGCGTGGCCGGGAGTAAGCCCCAGCCTTCTTGGAAGCTGCGTCGTATTCCATCGTGAGCCCAGCTAAGAAACAAGTCCCTACTGACGGGTCCCTGCCAGTGTTTCCCTAACACTGTAATAAACGTGTCCCTGCTTACATCTGCGTGAACCTACGTGGGGAGAGCACTTTCCTGAAGGGTGGGCTGGATGAAAGGCTATGTGCACTTAAGCCTGGGACAGATGCTCCCCAGGTGCTTTCCAAAGAGGCCTGGCCTGTATTTATTCCCGAAAACTGTGCACAAGGCCTTATTCTCGCACATCTGAGCAACTCTGTGTACGATCAAACTTCTCAATCTTTGCCAATCTGACACTTGAGAAATACTATCTCATGATTTTCATCCCATTTCCTTAAATTACATAGAATAAGCAACATCAATTTTTTTTTCACATATTTATAACCCGTTTGTGTCTCTTTTTTTGGTGAACTCCCTCTTCCCCACTTTTTTTCAAGAGTTTTTTAAAAAGCCTTTTTCTTATTCATTTGTAAGAGCTCTTTATATATTAAGGAAACTAGTCATTTGGCATAGGAATATTTATAGTGTATGTTAAGAAGCTAGTTACTCTCTATTCTTCTTCATAATCTCCCCCCAATCCCCGCCCTAGCGATTCTCACAAACTTTTCATAAGAATTTCCGAATCAGCTTCTAGTTCCCAAAACAACCTGGCCAGCATTTACCTCTCTGGCCATCTCTCCTACCGCTCTCCCTCCCTCTGCAGGGTTTCTTGCACGTGTCCCTACTTACATCTGCGTGAACCTACGTGGGGAGAGCACTTTCCTGAAGGGTGGGCTGGACGAAAGGCTGTGTGCACTTAAGCCTGGGACAGATGCTCCCCAGGTGCTTTCCAAAGAGGCCTGGCCAGTATTTATTCCCGAAAACTGTGCACGCACTATTGGAGTTTGGGGCCTAAACAATTCTTTGCTGTAGGGAGCTGTTCTGTGCCCTGTGGGGTATTCAGCAGCATCTTGGCTTCTATTCACCGGAGGCCAAGAGCAACCCCGCACCCCCACCCCCCTCGTGACAATGAACCACGGCTCCATGCGGTGCCAAGTGTCTGGAACTGTGGACTCAGCCGGACTCCTCGCTGCTCCCAGAGCCCGCGGCGTACACCCCTGCCCCACTCCCCGGGGCTCTGTTCATCCTCCAGCGTTTGATAGAATTCTGTCCTCAAGTTCTCTCTTCTGTCTGTCTCTGCCCCACCTTCAGCAGGGTAAGCCTCACGAGGACAGCGGGGTTTTGACTGTTGATGTGTACTCCGGTGCCTAGACCGCATCTGGGGCGTAGTGGGGGCTGACGCGTTGGGGTTCTTTTCATTCAATAGTTAGTTTTGCTTTTAAATTGGATAAATGAGGGGCGCTGAACCTTCGGTTCAGGTCATGATCCCGGGGTCCTGGGATCGAGCCCCGCGTTGGGGTCTCTGCTCGGCGGGGAGTGTGCTTCTCCCTCTCCCTCTGCCGCTCCCCCTGCTTGTGCTCTCGCTCTCTGTCAGATAAATAAATAAAATCTTAAAAACATGGATAAATGAATAGATCAGAGTAGGTTTGTAGATGAGATTAGACGAGAAATGACTACAATTCATTCTACACAACAGGATGGCATTTTTCCACGTATTAAAGTGTCCTTCTGTGCCCTCCTGTGCAGTGTGAAGTCCACTGTAAATAAGAAACACTGAATGTTTTTTGCAGTAAACAGCTGTCCAGTCTGGTTTTTATTTCCTGGTCAGTGCCCTTGGGCAGCTGCACCACCCCCTCCCAGGGCACAGGGCCAGGCCCCGGCGACTTCACTGTGTCCGGGAGCCCCAAGCTGCCTCTGTCCCCGGCTCTCCCTCAAGTCTGGCGGTGGGGGACGCGGCTGAGAGACCCTCCCAGCTGTGTATCCCCACATCCTCCCTGAGGGCCTCCAGCCAGGGGACAGGGAAGAGAGGTTGCTCAGGTCCCGGCACGGGGCCCCTCCAGAGACCTAGGGGCTCATCTCTGACTCCCTGCCAGGCAGTGACACGCCCAGGAGTGACCTTTGCTTTCTCGGCCGGTTCCCTAGCCTACTGGCAGAGGGGCTGGTGCTAGGGACAGACCAGACCGTCCAGTGGGGTAGGGGTGTTAGAGGAGAGCCCCACCTTCCCTTTCTCTCTTCCCCCTGGACCCTGTCCCCCACCAGGTGCTGCATGCGTGCCCAGGCCTGCCGGGTGGGAGTGGGGGGGAGGCTGGGCACGGCAACAGTGGGGCGCTGGCCCCTGCTCCCGGGGTGGACCCTGGCCTGTGAGGGGCACACGGACCTTTCCACAGTTCTGAGTTTTGGGTCGTCATTGCGGCCTCTCCTGGACCTCTTGCTTGGCTATTCCTGGGAGAACCCGGTCAGGACCACACGGGCCCCAGGCTCAGCCGAGGTCACCCTGACCATGCCCAAGGCAGCTCCAGATGGGTCTGAAGCTGTGACCTGGGGCCACCCCAGGCAGGGATAAGACCCACCGAAGCACAAAGCTGTGAAAAGATGACATAAAACAAACGGATGCTCCGGGGTGGGGGTGGGAGGCGCGACAGGGGCCCACACAGGGCTGCACTGTGTCCTGTCTGTCCTGCCCCCAGCCGGGCCTTCCCCCGGCCTGGGACTTCCCTCCAGGGCCCCAGCGGCCTTGGCAGACTGAGAGCTGGGAGGCCGGCTTCCAGGGGCTGGAGCCTCCTGCCCACGGCGGGCTCTGCGGCGTCCGCGGTTGACCACTTGACATTTATAGCTACAGTGCTTCTCAGCTTACTGTCCCTGCGGCGGGGCCTGGCTCTCGGGGAAGTACCGCTGTGGTGAGCGGGATGCTGGCCACAGCCCCGAGCCTGAGCTGGGAGGGTGGCCCAGCGCCCACCACGGGCTTGCCCGGGCCCTTCCTAGAACCCGGCTTGCGGCTGGGGAAGCTACCGGGATGGTGGGGGACCCCTGGGACCCCGGGCCCATCAGGCCTCCCATGGGGGTGCAGGGAGCACCCTCGGCCCCCGTGGCGCTCTGGGCCGAGGCCCTGGTGCAGGGGTGAGGGCTCGTGGAAGGGTTGGACGGCCAGGGGCCTCGGGGAGCACACGCAACCCCACATCCCGAGGGCAGTGGCCCCCCTGTGCTCTGCCTGCTGCCTGGTGTGACCCTCACACACGCGGGGTCTCCGTCTGGCCAGTGGGGGTTCTGAGGCTGGGAGAGGTTGAGGAGGGGGAGGGGGCTGGGTGTCCCCAGAGGAGCCAACCTGGACATGGTTCTGACTCCGAAGGCCCACTCTTCACTGCCCCGTGTGGACTGGAGTTGTCTGAAAGGGGGGAGGGGGTCCTGCTGGCCTAACAGAGACCGGGCTCCTGTGCACCCAGCCCCCCACACTGCTCTGCTGTGGCTCAGGTAAGGGGCCACCGTGTCACAGATGGACTCCCTGCCCTGCCCCTCCCCACCAGGACCCAGGGCCCTGACTCTGGTCTGCCCCTCCCCCACCCCCAGGACCCAGGGCCCTGACTCTGGTCTGCCCCTCCAGAACCCCCAGGACCCAGGGCCCTGACTCTGGCCTGCTCTTTGAGAACTCCGGATTAGAAGGGATTAGAAGGGCAGGTTGGGGAGGAAGGGGCGGGGAGGAAGGGAGGGAGAGAGTCTGGGGCCAGGCAAGAGAGGCCTCTGGGGCGTCTGGAAGCTCACACCCTACAATCCAGGGAAACCCCAGAGAGAAATCAGGGGAGAGGATGAGGGCAGGTAGAGCCCTGATTATGGGGTGGGGTGTGGAGGGGACCTGTGGGAGGGCAGGGCCCACCTTGGGGAGGTGAGGCAGGAGGGCAGCTACCTAAAAATGGAGCTGATTTTCATATAAATAGAACACCTTTGGGGTGTGTTTCTTTTTTAAAGTTAGGATTTATTTCAGTGCTCCCATTCTTAGCAACCCTCCCTGGCATGCCAGCTCTTGGTGGTTTCAGCCTGGTGACCTGGGCCGCTGGCTGGCTCAGGTCATGCTGCCCTTAATCTGGGTCTCCGAAGCAAGGAACAATTCAGTTCCACATTGACTGGCCCCTGCTCCATGCCTGAGAGATGGGGTCACAGGGAGGAATCAGGCTCTGTCCCTGTCCTCCAGGGTGGACCCAAGGAAACAGCCCTCCGGCAGACTGGGAGGGAGGGGACGTGTTCACTCGGTCTGTGTGAATCAGCAGAGTTTTGAAGGATGAGTAATTTTGCAGATTCTCCTTCTTTCTTTCTCTCCCTTCCTTCCTTCCTTTCTCCCTTCCTTCCTTCCTTCCTTCCTTTCTCTCTCCCTCCCTCCCTTCCTTCCTTTCTCTCTCCCTCCCTCCCTCCCTCTCCCTTCCTTCCTTCCTCTTTTCCTTCCTTCCTTCCTTCCTCCCTCCCT